GCAAATCTTAGAACACCAATACCAAATGATAACAAGACAAAAATTAAGTTAACCTTGGCTTTTCTCCGTTTTCCGTTGATGGAATCAAAATTCTGATAGGAACCTTGTTTTTCCTCCTAGTAATATTTAAGTTTGTATGAATATAATGTAGAAGAGGTTTTAAAACATTTATTTATAATATTACTAAATCCTATTGAATTCTAATGTAATTGGTCATTAAGTAAACATTTTAGCTTAAACAAATTATAGTAACTTGGATTTTATGGAATATTTGTCTGTTTTAGAGATTTTATCGTTATAATAAATCTTATGATGTATATCACATCTCTCTGCTTGGTATTGAATACTACAATTTATTTAGTATGACTCTTTCTTTTCGCAAACTAAATTTTTCTTAGAACATTTAAAGACAATTTTCCTTAATAAAAATCTTAATAGTTAGTAATTAAACTCAAGTAAAATTTGCAATAAATTTTACTTTTTTTCAGTTCATAGCATAATAATATCGGAATACTTCATGTATCCTGACATTTTTTCAAATTTCATAAAGAATAACGTTATATATCTACCTTTTGCAAGTATATACATTGTATATATTATAATGTTCCATTATGAGTTAATATTTGTTTTATATGTCGTATATTTTTCTAGAAATAATCTTATATACGTATATACATACAGTATATATGATATATATTTCTGGAAGAATATACTATAAAATTTAAATCTATAAATACGTATATATACTAAAAACATAATACAAAAAAAATATAAATCAAACTTACTTCTTTTTACCCTTGCAAACACGTTTCTTCTTTATCTCAATCTTAGGATTCTTAGCAAAATTTTTATGTAATTGAACAGTTTCTATATCTTCAGCATCTGTCGATATTTCAATATGTTCTTCTGGACTTTTAACAGTTGGAGTTTCATTTTCTAGCAACCTAGAATAAATAATTATTAAAATATCAATGTATTTATGTAACAAGTGTAAGCATCTTATCTTTTTAACTCCTTTGCTATTTAAACAAAAAAATACTTGTGGGCCAAAAATGTTTTTGACAAGAGTTAATAAAATTATAAAAAGAATACTTTCTGGGGACTTTTTGAATCGCTGAATCTAAATCTCAGATCAAAATTTCAAAAGAGCACAAATTGCAAACCAAAGATCCAAAAACTCGTTTGATTTGGCATAATGTATTGAAGGTTTCTTGAAGCAGCTATTTCAAATTTGAAATTAACATTTTTAAATTAACAAATTTCAATTTAAAAAACAGAAGCAGCAGCTTCAAAAACTCTTTAAAATTTTTAAATTTTTATTTTAAATTTGAATTAACAGCCTCAAAAACATAAAAATATAATATCTTATTTTAATTGCTCTGGTATAAGTTCTGTTGTTTAATGTACGGATATTTCCATAATGAAAATCAAGGAGTTAAATATGTACCTCCAAGTTGAAATAATTTATGTATTATACAGAAAAAAATTGCAAAATTTGAATAGCTATCTTTAAAATAAGCAATATATGTAAAATTTATTCACTTACTCAGCAGCAATGTAGTCAGAATCCACGTCTGATGTATCAATTACTTCATGAATTACTGGTCCTATAGGACATTCTTGTGACTACGAAATAAATATTTACTATTATAGCAATTAATACAAAAATAAACGTAAGTAATGCAACAATCATATATTACCTTGGACAATTTGCTTTGTTTATGTGAACGACCTGAGTCATTTATCATTAATGGATATCGTCTCTTAACAGATAGACCACTTCTGGATGGTTGTACAAGAGTAACAAGAAACTGAATTAGTTTGTTAATAATCTGTTGCTGTTTTATATGTTTTTGTCTCAACAACGCTAATTCTCTCCACAATGTTGCATTTTCGAGTTTCATTTCATTTATTGTAGAATCCATATTTTCTTGACGACCCTTCATGTTTCTTACTTCAGCTATCATCTTGCTCACTAGTTCTGGTTTGATAGCAGGATGTGTTCCATCTTGATTTTTGTTAGATGCAACCTAATAAAAAATAGATATCATTTCGTGATTACTGTAATAAAATATAGGTATTTATCATTACATAATAAAATGTTAATGCAACATTTAATCTTTATAATTTAGATTTGGATTTAAACTTCTATTTTTTGTGAATTTTATTCAAGATTTTTTGGAAAATACTTCCAATTTTGATTTCCTAAAAAGATTTGACAATAAGAAGAGAAATTCTTATATATTTCAAGAATTATAAATTATTTCACGTTACATTATATTAGGTGCTTTCCATTTACATCAAAGTTCAGATAAATCTTACTTTTGTCTTTCTTTAACATGAATGTTGAAGAAAGACAGAAGTGAGATTTATCTGAGTTTTGATGTAAATGGAAAGCATCTATTATAATATACAAAGTGAGCCAAAAAACATAATACTGGAAAGAGGGAAATTTTATGGCTCAAAATAAGTTGAAATAATGGAATTTTTATCGAATAAGAACTTATTTTTGAGAAAAAAAAGAAACTTTGAAACTTAATCAAATATATGTGTACTTGACTGACAGTGGACGTAATAAAAGAATTAAAAGAACAAGATAGAACTTTGTTGTATTATGAAATATGACAAAATGGCCAACATTGTCAACAATATCTCAATTAAATAAAACATAAATGTTTAAGAAATAAAATTATCTTTGTCTCATACAAATTCACTCACCTATCTTAAAAGTCAACTGACTGAATTAGTTCTGATAGTAAATAATACATACACAGAACATTTGTGTGAAAACCACAAAACTCAACTGATTAACTTTCAAAATTTTTTTCTTAAAAACGATGCCTTATTAAAAAAAAATTTATTCTACCATTTCGATTTATTTTGAGCCATAAAATTATCTCTTTCCCGGTTGTACCATACTTTCTAACCTGCCTGCATAGAAGCATACATATTAAATTTATTACTGTAGTGTATAAGTTTGATAATGTTTTTGTTAAGTTTTCTCAAAATAGAGATCATTAAATATAGACAATTTTTTATATTGTATACCTTTGAAATCTTTCTAAATTAATTTCGATCTTTAGATCTTCAAAAGATAACAAAATTATTACATCATAAAACATGTCTTAATATACTCACTTTTCTTTTAATATGCTCCAGTAAATAAGGATGCTCTTTGCAGAAGTACTGATGTGCAAACTCTATTTCATCTTTATCACATTTTAGGCCACCCAGTTCTACAGATACCTTCTTGTGAAATCCATCTAACATGTAAGAAGGAATATTAGTAAATGTTTTTCACTGTCTGTTATTTTGTTGTATTATCCATATTAAAAAATTTAAACTTACACATATTCAACTGTCGTATAAAACTGGCCATATTATTATGTTTGTAATAGTGTGGTAACAATTCCGATGTAAACTTTGCTTGATTTCTAATGAAGAAACTTCTTCCATTCTAAAAAAAAATATGTTAAATTGCACGTTAGATTTTCCTGTATCAAATTATGTATCAAAGTACGTATTATTCAACACAATCTCGTGCACGTTAGATTTTCCTGTATCAAATTATGTATCAAAGTACGTATTATTCAACACAATCTCGAAATATTGCATCGTAGCCCAATTTCAATTAGAGGACATTGTACATATTGTATGCTATCATATATTTCAACAGATTATACTAAAAGCTGCAATTCATTTATTGCTGCCTCCAAGCTTAGATTTCTTTGTGTCTCAATTCGTTAGCTTTGAAGCACTTGGCATCAGCACATGACGTCACCAGGTGATGGCGTTGTACAATAAATCATAACTAACACATGGTTAATTCTTAAGCTAATATTTTTTTTAACTTATCATATCGTAATTACATATTAATAATGACAATAAGTCTAGTGGTCCTCACAAGGAAGTTCCACTTACGACACGTAGACTGAATCCATCGTACCTAATTGTATGTTAGATTGTATTGAAATTTTCTCCAAGAAAAAGTCACGGAGATTAGAAATTTTCGATAGAAGTAATGTAATATCAAAACAATCAAGCGACAAGCAGCAGTAATTAATAAAAATTGCGCATTAATAGTTTAACACGTTGACTGCCAAGCTATATATATTCAAGAAAAGAGTCCTCGACGCCAATTTCAGTTATGCATGTTAAATTATTCAAAACCCAAAATATAATATTCAAAAATAATAAACTTTTTTTTCACATCCCCAGAGCTTTGGTCAGCGCTGAGTAAATATTCATTAGTCAACACAGACATCGCCGTAATCGCCAAATACGAGCTCTTATTAGCAGTTAACGTGTTAAGCAAAATGCAACGGAAGCAAAATTGTCGGAAAACAAGCACGACCGGTGGGGTCGTTGTCGCTCCAGTGATACACATTCGATGTGATTGTTTGTCAACGCAACTGTAATCAATGCAATGGTTGTCGACGCGGTGGTTGTTGACGCAATGGTTTTCAAAGCGGTTACTGCCGCTCGCCTCGCGGACGAGCGAAACGCGGAAACTACGATCCGCGTTATCACACGCGATTTTACGCCAGGTAATTCGGTCCGGATTCTCGCGAACGCACAGGCACAGACACAGACACAGGCACAGGTAAATAAGAGTGTACTCACGGATGACCACGAAATAAGGTTGTTGGTTTTTGGGTCCTCGACCATCTTCCAAAGCTTGGCAAGGAACGCTGGCACGCTCGAACTCAATTCTGAAGTCTTGTGCATCTCGTCGTCTCGCGTCAAGCCTGATCCTTGAACTAATACCTCGTGCATGTCTCCGTGTTGATTGTAAGGAACTTTCCTCTTCAACAGCGAAAATATTAATGGTAATGGCTGACGGCTGACCGCTGTGACGATGTTGTTCTGCTGCACAAACGCAGTAATCGCACACGCCGAGTGGAGTGGGGTGTAAATGGAGGGAGTATCTTTTTATTGGCCGCCGGGCAGCTGGGGTTATGGAGGATTCACATTGCCTCCGATCACGTCCGATGTTCGACGTACGACGATCCGACATCCAATAACAGAATTTATTATTAGAGACAAAAATTTCCTATTGGATGTCGGATCGTTGTACGTCGAACATCGGACGCAGTGTGAATCCTCCATTATTCGCCGTTCTCATCACTCTGCGTCGCGATACGACGATTCGGACGACAAATGACGACAAACGGAGCTTTAACACGTCGATCATGAGCGCAAACAGACAACGCAAGGTGGTGTGATCGAATTTGATTCGCGCTACCTCCCTTTTCACCTGATTTCAGCCAATCCGAAAAGCTCTGAAAGTTATGCAGGGTCTACAATGGGAGTCGCAAGAATTTGACCAATCACAGTCGATTATTCTCCTCAAATTCGATTGTGATTGGTCAATTCTTGCGACTCACGACTTTGCGACTCGCATTGTAGACCCCGCATTAAGGCCCGGTCTACAATGGATGTCGGAAGACGGAGTCGTAAGAAATTGACCAATCATAGTTCATTATTCTTTGACCGCAAGAAGAATAATGCTGGGTCTACAATGCGAGTCGCAAAGTCGTGAGTCGCA